ATTAACCCTTTTAGTGCCGGAGGCCGATATATCGGCTCTTGCTGCACTGGCGAGAAGTGCCAGAGCCGATATAACCGTCCACTACTTATAGCGCTTTATAATAATAAAATTTTACACATTTACAATATATAAATATAAATATAAATATTTATGTTATTATGATGAAGTATTATGCAAAATTATATCACAAATATATTTATGACAACATAATTTTGTTTCAGCAATGTTACATTACCTGTAACAATCACATATTTCGGAAGAGATAATCCGTCCGGCGCTTACCATATACCTTCGAGTTATTTTTTTACGTTTGTCATGTAATATTATTTATCTTGTTACAAAATCTTAATAAATGATCTATATAAAATTATGATGAAAAGATGGCTTTTTGTATGTGCAAATACGTTTTGTAAGAGTGAACTGGACTTTTACTTTCTTTATGATCTTTTATACCTTTGTTATTTATATAATTTTCAGTGAATATAGAAAATCTAGTGTCATTGTTTTGTTCTCTATTTCGTCCTTAATTTACTGCTTTTTGAATCATGTAAATATTGTTTCTTGTTTGGTTTTTATGAGCATTTTCTCAAACCCTAGTAAAACCGTGAAATTGGGCCGGTTATTCTCGCATAGGCACCTCTTTTTCGCATAGCACTAAACGGGTTAAAACATCTATTCTTGTTAGAAACAAGTTTTGAATTTTATTATTTAGAATTTCCTTGCCAATATAATCCCAGATATAATACGAGAACCAGTATATTGAACAAATAAATATAAAGAACAATTATATTGGAATAATATATTCCAAATAAGTTTTTTGGTTCAAGTTTGAAGTAAAAACTATTAACAAGTTACTTTTTAACTTGAAACTTTTCCGATCCCTGTTCTCGAGCGCCGCGCAGTCTAAAGAAATGACTACAAATTAGTAAAAAGTGTTGATCGATGAATTTAAAAATCCGGTATACCAATCCCTCGCACGTACTTCATTAACTTTTTTACGAGCTCGCGACGGTTTTACCACGAGCTTCGGAGAGACATAGAAGCAATCAGCGAGAGACAGCGCGGCGAAACACAGCGGGGCGCAATTAGCGTGATTCGCGGTGAATAAAGTCAATTAAGTTGCAACGGTGACGAGGACGATTTCATCGGTTACGTTATCAGCCGTGCACGACGTATGTAAAAGTGGCTTTTTAAATAATAGCCGGCACGGAAGCGAGGAATCCGGCGCGTCGTCCTGGGTAATATCGGCGAGCCGATAAAGCATAACGAGCCGTGCTTCCAACTCGCTCCCCCTTTTCCAATTTTTCAATTTCCATTTCACGTTTTCCGCGCGAGAGGACACGAAAAAAAAAAAGAAGAATCCGCAAAGCGGGTTCCCAAATTGCCTCGACGGAAGACGGGAAAAGTGAGTCATATTTCCACATACAGGAGAACGCACCCCTTCCACAGGCTTCCGAACAAAAATATCTTACGACGTGCGCGAGCTTGTAATAGGCCACGTTTTACCATAGCTGTGTCCGTGTACACCGAACACTCACATTCACACAGTAAAGAGAGAGCGGAATAAGCACGTGTAAAAACATAAACGAGAAAATGCAGTACACTGCGGGAGGAAATGCTGGATATGTGCGGAGAGCTTCCAAACCACACGAACGATCGGACTGTTTTTTCGGTGTTGGAGCTCGACAAACACGAACATAAACAAAATGCAATCTATCGATACGATATGGAATCGTTTGGCGACCGGGAAAGTCTAAAGAAATAATCTTTCCCAGAGTAAATACACATAACTTAGGGTAGGGGTGTCAAACTCGCGGCCCGAGATGAACATTTTTGATGTCAAGTATCAGGACGTAAACAATAATTTAATTTTATATATGTTTATTACAATGTACTAGTCAAAATAAAAATATTTGTTTCTATGAACATTGATTTTTTTTTTGCGGCCCACCTAAAGTTAAGCATTGTTTATTTATTATTATGGCCCAAGTTAGCTTTTGAGTTTGACACCCTTGACTTAGGGTATATGAATATTTATATGATACGTTTATAAATAGATTTAGCCTAATTTAAATATGTTTGAATACTATTCGAAAAGAGAATTAGAAAACATTAAAGAAACTTCGATGCTTCCCTGCAAATATTTATACTTTCAGCTGCAAAATGCAAAAAGAATAGAATGCTGTGGACCACTCTTTCATAAACTATAAATATTAAGACTAAGAACAAGAAAAATTTATTTTCCATGTTCAGTGATTCGTTGTACTAAAATTAAAATAAAAACATCCATTAATTTTCGTGTTTTCTTAGACGTACATTTATTAAGATTTCGTAGCAAAAAACATGGAGTAATGCGTGGTAAATTAATGGCTGTGTCGATAATAGTGCGCTGTTGAAGCAATGAGACATACCAACGCGTAGGAATTGTCGTTACTGACCCAATCTCAAAATTTTTCCGCACAACCTATCTCGATTGAAAATGAACAAGTTGTTGTGCGGCGCGCCTTTTTGCGAGACCGTTTTAATTATTTCTTGGCCCATTATGCCACCAACGATGGCGCACACCGGGCTAATTTGAGCGTACACGTCACCCCTAAATTCGTGAGTAAGTATTAAATATTATCGAAGATTCGTGTACTCTAGTGAATTAATATTTTACATTATACGTACTCTATTAAATCATTTATCGTATCATTGAGCTCATATTTCTTAGTGATCTCTTCTGCTTCGGTTTTGAAATTCTCTGAACCTCTTTCACTGGGCAACGGATCTTTGCCATACTTTTCACGATAATTAAGCATTACTAGAAGCACATGTGTTACGTATAAGTATTTGTTTGCCTTCGTTAAATTTAATTCAGAACCTGAAACTAAACTTACTTGACATCATATAATAAATTTCAGATTCTTTAGGAACAGAAGACTTTTCTACGTTCAAAATTGCTTCGAAAGGCACAAAGGTATCTTTACGCTTCTCTGTTACGGTTATGTCTTCGAACTTCTCTTTCTCTATAGGCTCGCCACTTTCTCCGAGCATTATCTTTTTTGTTTGTACTACATCTCTGTAAAAATTATTCTCTTATTGGATAATTTATTATGTTTAAATTATCAATACCATGCTAACGTCGATACTACACTTACTCTGCGTATTCGTGTTCTATTAAATCTGCGAAAGTATAGCCAACAGTTCCCCAAACGTCTCCGCAAAAGAATTTTACATTATGTTTTCTACATATCTTATTGATTCTCTTTAATTGCGTAATGGTACATTCTGTTGCACAAACAACGTCAAAATTGCTAAAGAATATATCTGGTTTGTCGTCGACGTTGGATGTGTCTGCTTTGATATCGACCATAGAATTTAAATTCTGAGCCCTTTGCAAGGATGCCTCTGCTCTCTAAAGATATAATATATATGAAAACACTATAATATACTACATCTTATACGCTATACCGTATCTTAATAATCTACCTACGTTTTTTCCTATTAAATCTGTAGGTGTTAAAAATTGCGAGCATCGATCCTCGGCTGTTACATTTCTGTGATCTAAAAACGTAACTGCTTTCACACCAGCCAATATAATATTCTTTGCTACTTCTGCTCCAAAACCATTTATACCTATTAATAAAACTTTGGCACCTCGTAAGCTGCAATTAATCGATATTATAGAATTGCGTTAAGATCTTACATTAAATTAAGTAAATAACAATAAAATATTTCTTCCATTGCGAATTACAAATTTTATAGGTTATAAACTAATGTACTTGCCGCTTTTGTGATTCTAAACCCCAAAGACGAATTTGTCTATCGTACAACTCAGCCTCGTGATCTGTTAAATCAACACTTTGATTTTTGTCCTCAGCCATTTCGTAAATACTGATTTTTTCCTTAAAATTCTGTAACCGCCAAAACGGGGCTCTCAAGCTGTTGTATCGTGCCGACACCAACACTTGCCCTCTCCTGTTCAAACACCGCTTCGAATATAGGGTAGGTAACATAACAAAATCTATCTACTATATATACTATCTACTATAAAAGAAGTGAACATCGTTAAATAAGATTTGAATTGAAACAAGTAAGTCTGTATATAGCATTTAAATAGAATTCAGATTATAAATGCTAAAATATTTAATAAATCCATGTAGATGATATTGAAATGTAATAACAGTATGTTGGAGGAACTGTTTATTAAATGGCTGGGGGCGTTGAAAGGTTTTGACAATTATGTGCGAGCCTTGTATTGTGTGCATTGTGTAGCAAGTTTGTCCAGTAAACGGTGTAAAACAACTTTCTTAAATGTTCACATACAATTTGACATTGCAGCATACGTGAGCATAATAAGAAAAATAACTTACAGGTATATATATATATATATAATTCGAAACATTTAGGTTAATCTTAGAAATGAACTATACGATGATTACAGAAATTCAAAACTACTTACCAAGCGGCACTTGTTATTGAAAAATACTAATATTTTACTAAATTATAAACTGTCACGTTTGCATTACATTTTGTGTAATTTCCACTAATAAAACGATTATAGACAACGAAACGATTTTTACGGTGGCGCCCTCGTCGGACGTCATTGTAAACATTTTTCAAATTTCATTCTTTTTATATACATATAATTACAATTATAAATTGTGAAATAGTTTTATGAACTCATATTATGCTTATTGATATTAACAAATTGTAGCAAATAAATAGATACATCCAAACTCATTGCAACTACTATATGAAAATAATTGTTTTTAAAATGATATAGATAAAAAATGCAATCAGAAGTGCTTTTACACATTATCAATGACCTTTTAATCTGAATGTTGTGAAAGCTGACCCCTAAAAAATATTATTCACAAATAACAGTAACCATCCTTGGTATTATAACAATGAACTATATGCAAAGATTAATATTTCCTTAAGATGACTTGTACAATAAAAGACAATTGTCTGAAATGCTAATAAATTTGACTTATTTTTCTTTACAGAAACAAACACATGAATCATCAAATATAATGAAAAACTGTTGCAAGAGACATGAACATGTCAGAGGAAGAACATGTGGAAAAAACTTTTGTATATAAGTTTCCAACATGTACAACAAATCAGGAATACGTGTTGGAGATACCATTAAAAATACCATACTATGGCTCGATAAAAGAACTCATGCACCGTATTGTTTCATCATTTAAGTTACCATGTTATGTGGAACCGAACTTACTGCAATCTTTGGAGAACGCTATTAAAGAGCTAACATTACAATTTTATGATGAAAAAGCAGAGAATACCTTAGAGAATGCGATATCAGGAACCACGGACATTGAAGAGATTATAAAAAATTGGGAGAAAACGTATAAACAAAAGACAGTTGATTATGCAGATCCAATTGGAACAACCGATGAGGAGTTATTTGCAGCTGCGTACCATAGATTGGTACATTCTCCATCATTGGAACCCATTTTGCAAGCAGAGCACAAATTTGGAAGGGATGTAACAGAAGTCATTCAAATGAGAGACACACATTATGAGCAACTCACTCAAAAGTTAGTTCCTGCACATTACATAGCGACAACACTGTTCAATACACATTTATATTTGTAAATAGCATTAAATATATACCCAATTCGGTATTTTTATTTCGCTAAATTGCACAAGAAACGGCTATTGCGTTATAACGTTAAGAGACTATTTTATTTGTATTGCCTAACAAAAAAATAATTCGATGCTACTTTTTTTCTGTTATTATATCATGCTAGAAAAGAAGATTTAAAATTCACGTAATAATATCTGTTTTACGCTACCGTGTATATCTTAAATTATCACTTCCATTGACCTTTTTAAGCAGACTATCAATATCAAAGATCACATTCAAGGTCAATGTCTTTTCTCATAATTTAATTGGAAAGAATTCTTTTGTAAGAATCTCGTTAATCACACATTTAGTTCGAAATCATGCGAGAAAAAAATAAATGATCGACAAATTAAATCCTAGTCAAACAGAAGAAATGCGCAAAGCTGTAGAAGCCCTGGAGGCTGGTTCTACCGAAAAATCGATAAACGAGATGGCTGGACGACACTTTGAAGAACAAAGCTTATTGCAAGGGCACTGGGGATCTAGGGTTGACGCGTTAAAATTAGAACAGAGACGTCAATATCGGAATTGGATTATGCGGCTGTTAGAAGAGCAGCAGACTAATATGTTACCAACTCCAATGTACGTTCAAGCATGACAAATGGACAGCTACATCGATATTTTACTAATCTTTAAATGTTATATCAACGCTAGGGGTTCTCCAATGGTGTCGACGCCGCCTATTCGACCCGCCTTAGACAATTTTGTTCACATCGAGGATAAGACGAGCGCGGACTATCCCGTTTTGGAAGAGAGTTTCACCATACACTTGGGCTCGCAAATGAAACAAATGCACAATATACGTATACTAACGGGAGATGTATTAGATTTTTGTAGGATAAAGAAAAGCGAGACCGGGTAAGTTACCGGAGATAACAATGCAAGCTTGAAAATGAAATAGAAGCGTCGTTATATTCAAAAGAGCTGTTCGTTATCATATAGAATGGATCCAACGCCGCAGAGGCTGCAGACAGCTTTAGGATTATACTCCAGTGATTTGTGCGGATTAGTACTGTTGAGCGACAATCACTTGGGAAGTTATTCTGGAATCACAAAGGGTAACGATTACAAAAAGTATACATATATATTGTTACCTTATCCTCGCAATTGTTTTTCAATATTTTCTTTTGCAGAATTGTGCGCTATATGCCAATTGACAACGGAGTTTCACTTTCCACCGATCGACGAGCAATTGGAGAAAATAAGGGACGACGTTAAGGACGCTGTTGCCTGGAGACAAGCGCATCACAAAGAAGGGATCGAAACGCAGGTGAGAAATTAAAGTAAAAAATGTGCCGTTTATTTTGAAAGTGGCATAAGTCATTTTTTTTTTTAATGATTATAATTAGTGTAATTGTAATTATTATATTATTATTTTTTAAATTATTTTTTTATTATTTTTTATTATTATTTTTATTATATTATATTTATTAAAATGATTGTAATTGTAATTAGTGTTACCATTAACTTGATTNGAGGCTGCAGACAGCTTTAGGATTATACTCCAGTGATTTGTGCGGATTAGTACTGTTGAGCGACAATCACTTGGGAAGTTATTCTGGAATCACAAAGGGTAACGATTACAAAAAGTATACATATATATTGTTACCTTATCCTCGCAATTGTTTTTCAATATTTTCTTTTGCAGAATTGTGCGCTATATGCCAATTGACAACGGAGTTTCACTTTCCACCGATCGACGAGCAATTGGAGAAAATAAGGGACGACGTTAAGGACGCTGTTGCCTGGAGACAAGCGCATCACAAAGAAGGGATCGAAACGCAGGTGAGAAATTAAAGTAAAAAATGTGCCGTTTATTTTGAAAGTGGCATAAGTCATTTTTTTTTTTAATGATTATAATTAGTGTAATTGTAATTATTATATTATTATTTTTTAAATTATTTTTTTATTATTTTTTATTATTATTTTTATTATATTATATTTATTAAAATGATTGTAATTGTAATTAGTGTTACCATTAACTTGATTTTTTTGAAAAAGTGACTTATGCCACTTTCAAAATAAACGGTTCAAATGTCTGCCCAATGTTTAACTATGCGTTGATTTACGTGTGTTATATTTAGACGAAGAAATCGACGACGAGTAAAAGTTTGCAGACAGGAGACGTTTACATTACAAGGCACTCGAACTTGGCGCAAGTGCATGTGATTTTTCATATGGTAGTGAACGATACTTTGAGATCCGGTGAGTATAAACGCGCGTGTTTCTTTTGTTGCCAACAATCACTTGCTCGAATGAGATGCTTTCTGTAAATCACAGGCGATATCAATTCGAGACACCCGGCGATTCTGGGATTGCGAAACATTTTGAAAACTGCGTGCTGCAATGACGTCACCACGCTCACTATTCCTGTGCTTCTTGTTCATGAAATGACAGAGGTATTGATAATGTCTCGTTAATCAATCATTCTTTTTTGATATGTTTTACGTTCAACTGCGGATATTTATGCACAATATATTTGTTTTTTTTTTGGTCTTAATATATCTAATGAATTACATATAATATAACAGTAATCTCAAAGTTTTTTTATCTTCTCACAGGTTCACTTACACATTTTTATCATAAATACGTAGAATTCGTAGTCTATTTATGATAAAGAAAATTATTTGAAATTTTTAGGAAATGACTGTGGCATGGTGCACGAAACGAGCAGAATTGGTTTTCAAATGCGTGAAAGGGTTCATGATAGAAATGGCGTCGTGGGGTGGTGCCGAATTGAAAAATCTGCAATTCCTTGTCCCAAAGGTAATCCAATGATTTAATGCGGTTTCTATCGTAGTTTATCACCATTGAATGCTGATAAATTGAATTACTTGAAATTTAATGTATAATATAGTTACGAAATCGCCATTTGTCTAGGGGATGTCCGAAGAAGTATTTGGCACGCTAGCCACGATGCTACCCAGCATATTTCGTGTATCGAATCCGCTGGTGTTCAAAGCGACCAGCACACCGCAAACTCCAAAAAAGTGAACGGCTGTCTTGCCACTGTTGTCGTATAACGATAAAAATAATAAAATATTTGTTACTGTTTATCGGTCATTGTGGCCACGATCATTACGGCTGTAAATTAAGACAAGATGCCGCGAATAAACGCCCGATGCTCTGAATGAATTTCTTGTTTATATTACTTTTACAAGAGCATCATTCCTTGAACGATAATTGCGTCACCCGCTACAATTGTTCACGCTATTAGAAACTATAGAAAAATTCATACATGTTATACCGAATGAAAAACTGATTGAGCAATGATTTTGTCATTTTCTTTTCTTTTCAATAAACCGTACGAAAAACCTGAACGATTGACAAATTCGATGAATGTAAGTTCATGAAATTTAATTTGGAAATGTAATTAAATATGATAATGGATGAAAATAGATAGAGTTGCTAGTATCCTGGCGATAAACAACGATTAACTTTGTTCTAATTACAGTGAATTAGGGCGATTTATATAGGGAATTATTTATTATTTATTTATTATCAGGGAATTATTTATAGGGCGGGACAAAAGTATACGTCGCGATCGCCGCGGTATGATTCTACCACCTAGATTTTGTGGACTGTACATACTACTACCTAGTTATATTACGGACTGTACTCATCTCCGTCGCGGTATGCAATAAATTATCACAAATTTTGTTTGCAATGAGGAGGCACACTTGCATGGACATGTAACGGAAACATCTAGAACTATGCACTTGAAACTTCACTAGTTTCAATTACAGACTATTAAACTGCTTATGTACTTTCGCATCTCCTATTTGCAATAAACGTAGAAAGAACAAAAAATCTAGGACGAGTATTAAGTACAATTTTCCAAATTATACAACAAAATTTAAATAATGATTTTTAATTCAAGAGTCGTAATATTTTCAAAATATTTGTGTTACCATTTAACATGCCTTAAGCATGTTAACTTAAATGATTTTATTTAAATATTTATCGTCAATTCGTTGTCACGTTTACGCAAGCCCTTTTCATCTATTCGAATAAAACTGTACAATACGCGAGCGCGCCACACAAATACAACTACAAAATAGTTACAATACAACTATATACGCTGTCACCTCTCATTGGCCAGTGTTTTTCGTTAATAACTCGTAAACAAAGCCGCAGATCGCATTTTCGCAAAGGAACAAGTTACTCAGAATGACCTCAGCTACCCCACATTTCCGTATTGCGAGACATTTTTGGGACACCCCGTGTATCCAGCGTAAGATATAGTAAATATTTTATTTGTCCGCCGCCCGTTTAAAAATCAAATTATATTCGATGATTTTTGTGGCCGACTGTACATTTCGCCATTTCCGTCGGGGCGTGCAATAATTTATCGCGAATCTCGTCTGCAACGAGAAGGCACCGTAGAGCATCCAAGTTATCCGCGCTGGTTTACCACTTCGTCCACGCGATTAACGATATCGTCGCGCGAAAATAAATTGATTGAAAAAATACACGGCGACTCGGCCGAACGCGCTGGCCGAACATAAAAAGGAGGGGAACGGAGAAACAGAAGAAGAAAAAAAGAGAAAAAAAGGAATAAACCGAACGAATGTAAATCGGATCGGAGAACGAATTGGAACATAATCGCGGTTTATTGGGAAGGACGTGCGTCGGTCTCCCGGATTTCGGACCCGCCAGAAACGAGAATTAATTCCGCGGAGAGGATATCGATAGAACATCTTTTTCGGTTTCTCGTTAACCGAGCCGGACGATCCGTTTTCAGTGTGCGATTCATGTTCCTTGTGCGAACAACTCGATGAAAAGCATCTTTCTATCTGCTTCGGGATCGGTTGTGCACAGTGAGAAAAGAACAAAAAACCAGACTGTAAAATTCGAGACTGAAACTTCCAAAGGAACGCAAGTAACAAATAAATAAAACATAAAAGACGACGCGGCGAATTATTAAGGAGACTAATTATTAAGGAAAAAACGTCTAATGGAGGCATCGCAAGAATTTCCAAAGAATTTATATCGCAACTTTTAATCATTCGGATGCTGAGAAGTGGAGTCGAAAAGTCTATCAAGGATTTAACCAGAAAACAGAAATCATCCCTTATAAGCTCGCCCCTAAATACTTTCCACAGTTGCGTGTGGAAGGCCGGAATATATTCGCAATTAAGGAATCAAGTTGTATTCGATTCTGCGGATCTGTTTATCGCGGACGGAGATTACTTCGTGTGAAGTGACCGGTGATCTGTTCGCGATAAGAAAGCGCCGGGTCGTTCAAGAATTGAATAAGCTGCTGGCGCGCACACGGCGGGAGAACCGAGGAAGACGACGGAGGAAAAGAGAAGAGAAAAAGAAACGATGAACGGGTGCATCGGTGGATCAAGCGTTTTCCCGCTGCCTTCTTAATTCGGCATCGCGATCGTGGGCAGAGTATGCTGAGGACGAATTCGCTGCCGTTCCATCTCAGCGTTGTGTGAGGAACACGGTTGTATAAACTAGGCCGACTTATTTCGGAAAAAAAAGAAAGATCGGAGCCGCGTTGCGCTCTTCCACTGAGCAACCGGATTATTCGCCCATCGTCTGAACAATGTGGCTCCAGGCGATCACTGTTTTCGCGTTAATTGTCTCTTCGGTCCCGCAGAACACGGTAGGTGGTTGTTGTGCGACGATTTCTCATATTTTTCGCTCGCACATTTGCGTTATGTATATATCCGTCAATGTTAATAGTTAAAGCTATTATTTAAAGCTATTATTGCTATTTAAATTACTAAATAGCAATAATAGCTTTAATATATTACTGCTATTTAAATTATTAAATAGCAATAATAGCTTTAATATATTATTGCTATTTAAATTATTAAGTATCAATATTAGCTTTAATATATTATTGCTATTTAAATTATTAAATAGCAATAATAGCTTTAATATATTATTGCTATTTAAATTATTAAATAGCAATAATATTGCTATTAATATAATATTTAAATTGCTAATAATATAATATTTAAATTATTAAATAGCGATAATATTGTTATTAATATAATATTTAAATTGCTAATAATATAATATTTGAATTATTAAATAGCAATAATATTGCTATTAATATAATATTTAAATTATTAAATAGCAATAATATATTTAATTATAGATATTAAATTGCATTAAAAATCGGGTTTCTCTGTGTGCGATTTGAATCCAGATTGCCCGCGTTTTCAGATTTGTTCTGGGTGCTTCTAGGAGGATATAATTGCTATATCGATATTTTTTTACGATTGAGAGATTACATGAAAAAGCAGATAATAAATAGGTAATAAATAATAAAGTTTTATGCTACGAAAGCGCCAACACTATATCCTATTTTGACGTCGCCGATATCAGCGGAAACTTATTGATAACTGTTTCGATGACTCAGCCGTATGTAAAAGATGTTCGATCATTTTCGTAGTATCGATTTCAGTGGAAGTCGTTGCGTAACGTCAATCTTTAGAATTTATTGATCTGTGGTGGGAACTGTTTGTCGCTTTTGAACAATTTTTTTTTTGAGATTGCTTGATCTTCGATTGTAAAATGAGTATTAGATTAACGAAGTCCGTAATTTCCTGGCGCGTCCTAAATTCGAATTACTTAATATTTTATCTACCGGAAAGCTGTTTTATCCGAGAGGAAATGAGAACGCTCGTGGCTGAGCTTTTATTTTCGGTATAGCGTCGTACAAAGCGGACGATTCTGTCGAAAAGTCTGGATTTGCTCTGTTCGGTCCTATTACTCAATATATTTTATGAAATATGAAATTACAAAATTTACAATTCGACATTATATTACATTTATTATACATTTATTTTTATTTATTATTTTTATTTATTAATTATTATTTTATACATTTATTATACATTTATATTTGAGTGTAAATATCAACCACACGCGTATTATTTATTTTCTAACTTTTGAACTGCGCCTAAACTTTATTTCTAAATAGTGCGATGTCGATTGTCATTTGATGGTTTTTTTTTATTTTTCATTTGATGATTAAATGTGTTAGCATCGTTACACAAACTAGGACAGGCTGAGGGTGGTTGCTACAATGATTTGCACCCTGTGGGGGATATTGGTTCCAAAGAAAAAATTATTAAGAGTGTAACTGTTGCGCGAGTCCTAAGAATCAATTTCATATGCATAAAATGCATTTTGTCATAAAAAATAGAAATACTATAAGTTAGAAGAATGATTTTATATTTACAGTTAAAATAGCTTCGAGTGCAAAGGGTTAAGTGTAAAATGGAATATGGACACGAATGGATACGAAGGTTATTTTAGGTTAAGTAAATATATTCACGAAACCCCAACATGAAACAGTTTACGCTTTGTTTTCAAGCAAAATTATAAAAAGAACGCCTAGAAACACTCGTCCAAACCGGAATACATATCTCCTTAAATCAGGGTAGTGACTCGATTTATGATCGAGATTTTACCATAATAATATATAAATTAAATATAATAATATATAAATAATATATAAATATAATAATATATAGTAATATATAAATAATAATATATAATAATATATATATTATTATTATTATATTATATTATATATATATTATTATTATTAATTATTATTGTTATATATATATGTATAACAATACCTTACGCTTCTTCATGCATTTTAAAAGCAATTAAACCGTCGCCGACAGGTAACATGCTAAAATTGATTTAATCAAGGAGAATCTTTCCACCGATTCAAATAACGATTACAGAATAATATTACAGTTATCCGATCTTTATGTTGCAGCTCGATCTAGCAGGCCTCGGCATAAAACGGGAAGACTTCTTCTTACGACTCCAGAAGACAATTAATCTGGCGAAAGTGACGAATCTGATCCTTCGTGACAACAAGTTCGACAACTTCGTCGATTGTTCCACTAATCTGACCAGTTTGAAATACCTGGATCTGTCACAGAATCATCTTCAGCAATTCTTCTTCTTGTGCCAGGACGAGTACAATTTGAACACGTTGAACGTCAGTCGGAATAAATTACAGTACATCACCCACGACGCCCTCAACCACAGAATCCCGAACCTGAAGGTTCTTGATCTGTCGTCGAACGAGTTATCGTTCGTCAATGAAACCATGTTGGAGCACTTCGAGGTAATTTGCTTTCATTAATTAATTCGATATACCTGATTATTCATTATTCATTATTATATTCATTATTCATTATTATTCATTAATCCAATATACCTGAAACACGGCCTTTTTATTCTGCTTCCAGGTTTTGACGTACCTTTCTTTAGCGAACAACCCCATGAACGACGGCATCCACGTGAACGCGTTCTCGAACTTGAAGCAGCTGCAGTATTTGAGTCTCAGCAACGTGTCATTATCCTACGTCTCTGTAGAAATGTTCAAACCGTTAGTTAATTTAAGTACGCTGGATTTGTCGAGGAACCCTATAAGAACCATACCAACGTTACCGAGCACGATAGTAGAACTCGACCTTTCCAACACTATGATAACGCAGTTGAATAACATCAGTTTACCGGACCTGCAAGAGCTGAAATTAAACGATATGCGAAATCTAGAGGTGCTGTGTTTCGACGATCTCGAAAATTTGCCCAGATTAAAAATATTGTCCCTGACTGGTTCGAAGAAGTTAGCGCATCTGACAAGTAACAGGTACGACGAAAGGCGTTTCCCACCACTGATGCAACTGTCGGTAAATAATTGCAGTCTGAGAACGCTCGATCATAGCTTTCTGTGGATAATAAAGAGAATGCCGATTTTAAACTTCGATGGGAATCCTTGGAATTGCGACTGCAGGATGAAATGGATAAAGGAGGACGGGAATAAGACGCTCAGCCGAAATATCAAGTAAGCAAATTGAGTAAAAAATCGTCGAGATAGCGAGTCATCTTAGCGAGATTCTGTGGGGTTGTTTGGAATCGGAGCTAGTCGGTAACTGAGCAAGCGATTCAGCCACCCTTATGGAGATGTCGCTACTGGCACCATAAACCAGTTTATCTTACTTCCGTGTCTTTCACATTTAAAAAATGCAGCAGTATTGTTAAATAATTTATTTATAAAAGAACTCTCATATTTTAAATCTTATTTACTCGTAATTCGATTCTTATTTATTTAGTCAAATTTTATATATTACAAAAACTCTATACTTGGAACAAAGGGACTAATTGGCAGTTCGAAGAAAATTGAAGTGACGTAAATACAATCTTGTTAGATTAAGTATAATGATCTGGTTACTGAAAAAAATTACCACGAATTTAACAATTTCTAATAAATAGACAAGTTTAAACTTTCAACTCTGCTTTCGAATTTTTAAAATGCGCATAGAACGTGTTTGCAGCTTTTCGATAAACTTTAAATTAGATTAGAAAATAATATGCACAAAAAAATTATTTTAAAATAGTGTATATATATACAGTGTGTACACACATCGAAACGATATGCACGATTTTAAAAAATGTTTCGATAATGCAACGAAAGATCTTAGCAACAAAAGCTGATCAGTTTTGCGCATTTAAGGATTAAACAATTAAATAGTAAATATTAAACATAATAACTGTGCTGTTACGCTGCATATTTAAGGATCAAGCAACGAATAAAATGCGAGCAGAAAGATTTATCAGAAATAATTGCAGAGCACAAAGCGAGAGCGGCTGTTATTTTCGCACCAATCTACAGTAATGTCTCTCTAATTGACGCTCAGATTGTCCAGAAAAATGGACAATTTTGGAAGAGGAAATACGATTATTCGAGCTCTGCGGTTTGCTTTGATTGCCTCCACTTCCCAAATTGTCCATTTTTGCGCATAATCTGAGCATCAATTAGGGAGACATTACTAGTAATTCTCTGAGTAATTTCTTCCTAATTCGCGCTCGAAAATGGACAACTTGGGAACAATTTAACTTAATAACAATTCAGTAAAACAACCGAGTGCCAATAACTATAGTTACGAATTGTCAACAACTATGAAAAACGAAACAATCTGGACAATCTGAGTATCAATTAGGGAGACATTACTATCGGTTCTGGCTTACAGTAATTTCTCCCTAATTCGCGCTCAGATTCTCCCTAATTCGCGCTCGAAAATGGACAACTTGGAAGCAATTTAATTTAATAACAATCCAGTAAGACAACCGATTGCCAATAACTATAGTTACGAATTGTTGTCAACAACTATAAAAACAAGCTGCAAGTCTCGAATAATCGTGTCTCCTCTTCCCAAATTGTTCATTTTCGTGTACAAATTGAGAGACAATTGTAGAGAATTCACTATAAATGGTGAAATGTATACTTCTCAAGCTGAATGGGTTGAAGCACGCGGTTGCATCAGCGAGTACAATAAGTTGTCCCTAATTGACGCTCAGCTTGGGAACGAAATTGAACATTTTGGGAAGAGTAGATACGATTATTCGAGTCTTACGGTTCGTTTTTATAGTTGTTGATAATCGGTAACTATAAAAACGAGCCTCGAGGCTCGGATAATCGCATCTCCTCTTCCCAAATTGTCCATTTTCGTGTACAAACTGAGGGACAATTGTAGAGAATTTACTGTATTCCGAATCGATGATGACTAGATCGCGGATATTTCTGCGAAATAAAAGTTCCAAATAATGTTGATATATTGAAAATAATGTAACGTTTTAAATTGCACCTTGCTATCTGTCTCATATTTCATGAAATCAGCTGTCCAGTGATTTTAGTATTCTGCAGTAGTCAAATTTGATGAAAGAAGTCAATCCTTCTAGGTTGAATAAATGTCTCCTCTTCCCAAATTGTCCATTTTCGTGCACAAACTGAGCATCAATTAGGGAGACATTACTATCGGTTGTGTAGAGTAATTTCTCCCTAATTCGCGCTCAGATTCTCCCTAATTCGCGCTCGAAAATGGACAACTTGGGAACAATTTAATTTAATAACAATCCAGTAACACATTCGATTACCAATAACTATAGTTACGAATTGTCAACAACTATAAAAACAAGCTGCAAGTCTCGAATAATCGTGTCTCCTCGTCCCAAATTGTCCATTTTCGTGCACAATCCGAGCGTCAATTAGGGAGACATCACTGCAATTAGAAATATGCACGCGGTAACCTGTTTTTAATCTTTCATTTGCATGATTTAGGTGTTACACACCCGAACGGCACCGCGGCAAGCGACTGAGCGAGGTACCTGAAGATGATCTCGAGTGCGAAGGCGACTCGACGGTGTTCTATCCCGTTTTATGGGCTTGCATCATGTTGCTGATCGTGGCGTTCGTATTGGCGATGGGCTTCTTCTTCCTCAGACGACCAATCGGTGCGTGGAGCATCGACCGAAACCGTGACACGGTCAGGTACACGAACGTCGACGCGTCGTCGACCGACATGGTGAGAATTCTACCTGGTGGCGAGACATGCGATCGTAACGGGGAATAATAGGCGCTGGCGCAGGGTGAACGTTGTTGTACGGGGTGCTGCCGAATTTATTGTACCGTCAGAAATTGAACGATTTTGTATGAAAACATAAATGATACAGGACACGGTTTGTTATACGAAAGTCAATCTTTGATTAAACCAACACCATGAACCGAGACTTGGCTTGTTTTTTTGAAAGACGACAGCCGAAGGTTAAATAATCGTACTTGTGTCAGCTGTACGCTGCTGTGTCGCAAATTGTAAAGTATACGTCGGAACAGGCTGTAGTAACTCTAAAAAGATATATTCTTAAGAAATATTTTTGATCTGAGAACGTTTGTCGCGGGTTTCTGAAAAGCATTTCTAAAACGCACAGCCGATGAATACGCAACGATCTCCGAGCGTGTAAATAATAAAACAAGAACTTTTGGGATTTGTATTTCCCGGAAACAGAGTCTCGGATGAAAGATATTTACCGTGTACTTATATCGCGTATTTTTGCACAACGAGTCGGTCATAAAACGATTCACTGTTAATATAGAAATGTATTAATTTAAGGTAAGCAACTTAATTTAATTTAAGGAGACCGCCGATGTACAGCTTAAGAAGTCGATATAACTTGTACAGAGAGAGAGAGAGAGAGAGAGAGAGAGAGAGAGAGAGAGAGAGAGATAGAGAGAGAGAGAGACAGA